GAACAACATCCGGGGGCTTTGTCCGTTCTGTCTTCTTGTTCTTGTGAATTAGAACAGTACTAGGGCTGAGGATGATGGCGTTTTTCGAGCGCATGAGAACGCATAAGCACACAGATTGACAAACAGCCTTTGTTTTGTTTCCTGGTTCTGACTCATTCGTCTCTGGGTTCATTGGGCAGCTTTGCAGCTGGAGACGTGGTGATGATGCATCCCCAGAACTCTGCAGAGGACGTGCAGCTCTTCTGCCAGCTGCTCCGGTTGGACCCGGAGTCCAGGTTCTGTCTCAGAGCCACAGGCGACGCTCCAGGTACTCCTGCAGAACCGTCTGATGGATCTGGAGAGTTTTCGTATTTTTATTGGCTGTTAGGATTTCTTTCTCCAGCTTTTAGCAGAAATAAATCCCAACATGTTTGAGCTCAGTTGTTCTGCTCTGACCCAGTTCCACCCAGACTGCCTCAGCCCTGCTCCGTGCGCCACCTGGTGGAGCGTTACCTGGACATCGCCGCCGTGCCTCGCCGCTCCTTCTTCGAGCTGCTGTCCACCCTCGCCACCAACGAGCTGGAGCGGGACAAACTGACCGAGTTCAGCTCGGCGGCCGGACAGGACGAGCTGCACAGCTACTGCAACCGGCCGCGGCGCACGGCGCTGGAGGTGACCACGAGAACCGCCGCTGGTTCTGAGCAGATTGTTGAACCTAAATGTACAAAATCTGAGCTGGCTTCTTGTTGCTGTTGCAGGTTCTGTCAGATTTTCCTCACACCACAGCAGAAATCAGAGCAGATCACCTCCTGGATCTGTTCCCAGAGATCCAACCTCGGTCCTTTTCCATCGCCTCCTCTCTTAAGGTACCTCCTGGTCCAGAACCGGCAGGATCTCCCCTGTAGGAAACTTCTGACCCGCTGTGTCTCTCTGCAGGCTCACCCAAACAGGCTGCAGGTCCTCGTCGCCGTGGTCCGATATAAAACCAAGCTGTACAAACCCAGGAGAGGCCTCTGCTCCTCATGGTTAGCCTCTCTGGACCCTGAA